TCAGGTTTTGAGGTATAGCTGACGAGAAATTGTGTTACCTAGTCGTACCATTTGTCTCAGGTAAACGTACTCGTCAACAACTTCGAGCTTAGCGCTCCCAACAACCACCGGCATGGGTGTGACATGGACATTAAACATGATCTTTGTTTCGTCCATGTTCATCTTGAGACCTATCCGTTGGGAGACACTATTCAGATCAATGAGCATAAATTTTAAATGAATGATTTTTTATTCGGTATACATTATTGTATAATACTGTTACGCGCCTAAGTCGACGGCACTAGCGCAATCTAGTGTCAGAGACGAGAGCGAGGGGAGCTTTCCAGAAAATGACATCACTAATCTTTTAACCGACAGCGCCATCTAGTCCCGAACCGAAGAACTAAACTTCTAGAAGTTGAAACTCGAACTCTCGGTATACCTTGCGCGTGTTTACTTGAATATTCTGGATATTTCGGTGCTAATTTATGTTTATAGGCGCTGCAAGATGCGATCGGGGAAGTATGAATTTGGCGAGACAAGCGAAGCTTCGGAGCGAAATAAAGTGAATCAGTGTGATTAATTATTAGTGTTTTAAGTTTTAATTGGTGTAAAGAAAATTAAAGTGTTAATTTAGGTAATTCTATCGGCAATTTTTATTTTCACGAACCTCAAGCTCGTAACAATACTTATTGAACGTCATTTTTTATTTACCACTGGTTCGCAAAAAAAACCTCTGTCCTGGGAACAACCAGCAAGAAACTCAGCGGGACATTTTTTTAAACATATTTCAATTCACAATGAATTTATTTTGTACAATTTTTGCATGAATTTTTATAGAATTAGCATGGTGGCGATTACCTCATAACCCTTTTTGTACTATTATTTTAAATAAAACATTTAAACTTGTTTAATGACAAAGTAAATTTTCTGGGATTTTGTTGTAAAAGCGTAACTGGTATTACAAGCTTATGTTTGTTCCTAGTGTTTAAAGTATGAACATCTTTATTCTTATTAAAGCTATTTATGTTTTTTATGTACATACATTACATTTTCATAAATACAAGGTGTCTCAAAAGAAAGTTCACATTTAAATCTTTTTTTAAAAGAAAAGTCTTAGCTTTATTGAAAAAATGTTTATTTTATATTGAAGTACACTGTTTGGGAATTTATTTTTTAAAAATAACATTGTCCAAATGTAAACCGTTGCGCTCTCGGCATTCATTTAGTCGGGCACTAAAATTGCCTATGACAGCTCGGCAGGTAGTCTCCGTGATGGCTGCCATTTCATGACGGATATTTTCTTTTAATTGTGCCAGGGAAGTCGGTTTATTAGCGTAAACTTTTGATTTGACATAACCCCACAGGAAAAAATCCATAGGCGTTAAATCGGGACTCCGTGGAGGCCAATTTATGTCACCTCGCCAGGAGATTAATTTGTTCGGAAAAATTTCTCGAACTCGAGGCAGAGATCTGTTGGACGTGTGTGAAGTTGCTCCATCCTGCTGGAACCATGTTCTTTGGTTGTAACCAGGAAAGTTTTGCAGTTGGGGTACGAAAAACTCGTCTAACATCTCCACATAACGCTCTGAATTCACTGTGAGTGTGCGTCCCCTTCCATCTTCAAAAAAGTAAGGGCCGATAATTCCTCGCGCCGACATCGCTGCCCATACGGTGACTTTGGGTGAATGTAGCGGTTTCTGATGTTTTTGTTTTGGGTTGGTTGCACTCCAGTAACGACAATTTTGCTTGTTTACATGCCCATTCAGGTGAAAATGGGCTTCATCGGAAAACAAGATGTTGGTGAACGTTGGAAAGCGCTCAATCATCTGATTTACAAAGGCAAGCCTCTGACCAGCATCTTGAGGCTTCAGTTCTTGCACTAACTGAATTTTGTACGGGTGCAGCTTTAAATCTTTGTGTAAAATGCGGCATAATGAAGATCTGTGCACATTTAAAGCAACAGCACGCTTCCGAATCGAGAGGTTTGGATCATCTCGAATAGACTGAGTAACACTGTCCACGTTTTCGGCTGTTCTTGATGTTCTTGGTCGCCCAGATTTTGGTTTCTCCAGAGTTGACCCAGTCTCTTCAAACTTCTCAACCCATTTTGCAATGAGACGAGTGCTAGGCGCATCATTTAAGTGACGAATATGTCAAATACTGCAGAATTTTCTACGCGCTACAGTCGCCGAATTACCGTTTTTGTAAAACTCACGTACGCACAACGCACGGTCCGCACCAGAGAAACGCTCCATAGCGACTAAATTCCCAAGAGCCAGACTACCGACTGACATACCCCCCGCGCCCCTCAGAATAGTTGCTTTCGCGTAATAAGATAAGCAAATGTGAACTTACTTTTGAGACACCTAGTATATTGCGATTCATAGTGCTTAGGTCCTCCAGCGATTCTGCCATAAGGACTATATCGTCGGCAAATTGAAGGTGATTGATGTTAACACCGTATACTTTCCAGTTCAATAGCTTGAAAACGTTTTCCAATGCAGCTGTGAAGAGTCGGGGATCTACGTCACCCTGTCTTACACTTACACTTCTCTGCAGTTTGATAGGTTTCGTACTCTGGTTCTGTACCTACCGTAGCACGGACAACACTTTAGCACCTCGATATACCGACAGTCCACTTGGTACCGCTGAAGGTACTGTAGCACCGCCCAAAATTTGACGGAATCAAAGGCTTTCTCATAGTCCACATACGCCAGGCAAAGTAGCAGATTGTACTCTTCGGACTTTTGTACAATAGTATGTATGTGGTCTATGGTGCTAAAGCCTTTTCAGGAACCTGCTTGTTCGGGAGGCTGTAAGTCGTTGCGTCTGCGTGCGATACGATTCGTAATGACTCTCGAGAACAGCACGTAGACGCGGCTCGGTAGGGATATCGGTCAGCAGTTCTTCAAGAGAGCGTTGTCACCTTTCTTGAAAAACAAGACCACCGCACTTCTGCTCCACGCCTCGGGAGTAGCATGCCACCAAGGAGGACGAAATTGAAGAGCTTCTGAAGGACTTTAAGTACCGGTTTTCCACCTGCTTTCAGAAGTTCCGCTGTAATTCCACCCTCGCCCGAGGACTTGCCCTTTTTAAGGTGCTAGAGAGCTATTCTAATATCTCTCAGACTGACGTCCGGGATATCATCGGAATAATGTCGGATAATACTTGCTCTTAGATCGCCACTCACACTTGCGTGTGGCTCTAACGATGATCTGTACAGCTGCCCATAGAACCTCTCAATCTCACTCAAAATCTCAGGTGTCCCGGAAACGATGCCAAACTAGGTCATTAGCTTCGACAGTTGGCTCTTTCTCACAGAGATCCCTGGCAAAGACTTTGGAGCCTTGGTTCCGCTCGATCGTTTTTTCAATACGAGCTGTACTGAAGTTGCGTAAGTCCCGTCGCATGTATTTGGAGATCTGTCTGATCAGTTGCCTGTATGCTGCCAAATCTGCTGAAGACTGCAGCTTCATTTCCCGTCTAACCGCCATGAGATTAAGAGTGTGATCGGAGAGTTTTTGTGTTCTTCTGCGGCGGGTCTTGCAGAACTTAGCTCCGACCGCATGGACAGTTTCCACGAGCTTGTCATTCATATCGTCCACTGCATTGCAATCTTGTAGGCACTGAAAGCGGTTACGTAACTCGAGCTGAAAGTTTTCGGGATTCTGGATCAGTGCACGAGGGGGACGGAGCGTTGAATTCATTAGACGAGACCTCTCGAATTTAACGTTTAGGTTCATTGTGCCTTTTAACTTTTATCACATACGGACTCACACATACAATATATCTCTCACTCCCTCTCACCCCTCTCTCACCCCCCCTCTTTCTCCCCCTCTCCCCCTCTTTCTCACCCCTCTCCCCCTTCTCTCGTCCCACATCCCTCCTTACTCTCTTTCTCACACACACGCGCACACACATGTGCTGTGTGAATTAAGAGATTTAAGATAAAATGTGACTACAGTTTTTGACCTTCATGATACGGATAAAATATAGCCTCGCCTGGGGATATAGCCTACATCACTCTTGTCCATCTAGCATATATGAATATCAATAATATCAAATTATTGTGATTATTCATAACACTACTCAGGAAATTTTTTGAAAATATTAGTTAATACCTGTAACGTATTTATACTAGCGATCCGGTCCGGTTTCGCCTGAATAGGATCTATCAATGTGATGTTATTTAAGATAATTAAAAACCATTTATTTTATACATTTAACCCAAAATATCTAAGTATTCTCAGATAAGACACTCGTATAGCCCCTGGCATAGCTCTCTATCATTTTGTAATGTTTCATCACAATCGATTTAGCCATTTCGAAGATTAACCCAGATATACAGATAGAGACAAAATTTTTAAAATAGTTACATCTTATTATAATAGCAATTTCAATATTTAAGACAGAAACTTCAATTTTATTTATATAATGATGATGTATAGATATAACTGCAAATTGCGGACTGTACACATAGTGATGTCATTTCATTGAAAATAGCATGATGCTAACTATGCCAGACGAGACCAATCCATATTAGATATACTCGAAGGCTTATTTAAAGTTATGTATCAGGATTTGATTATGACTGCTAAATAATTTATTGAGCTATACATCAGCACAGTTTGATATACTAACAGTGAGGGATAACACTTGGATTCACTGAAATTTATTTTCTATACACTGTTGATGCATTTCGGCAGTTAGTGTCTTGTAGAGCCACGCTGCAGTTTATTATGGCAGCAATATGAATGTTCAGCTCGACCGGTAACCTATATAAGTTTGACAAGGTTTTCGAAGGTTATTCCCATTTTTCTATATAATTAGTTAGCTTTTACGACTCTTTCATGGTTTGTTATAGATATGAGTTCTGCTTTTTTAAAAGTATTTTGTATTTAACTTTTGTATTAACTACTTCCATTATGTTCCTCCACCCATACGGACAAAATTATATAATACCTTTAGTAATAATATATAGTTTTTTTTGTTACTATATATCAAGTTTTCAATTTCAGAGATTATGAATGAGGTGATCCGCTATCGCGGACCAAAAGGCAAGGAGTCTCAACGCATAGAATGGCGGATCCTTATAGTGGACCAACTCTCAATGCGCATGGTATCTGCGTGCTGCAAAATGCACGACATCTCGGCAGAAGGAATTACTTGTAAGGGAGAACATTCGTCAATGCATTTTTATAATATAATTTTTTTTAGTCAAAATCATTCTCCAGACTACGATTTTTTCACTCATACTCATAGTAATATGAAACCCGAGCATTTATTTAACATGGCATCTGGTATTTTTGCATTTATCGTACTAAAATATTTTTATCATGGCATCTCAAGTAACGGAAAATTGCTCAGCTCATGTTATCAAGTGTTGTCATCGTAGAAGTTAAAATACAATATATTTTCGTACCGGACCAAATTCACAAAATGTAAAAAATACAAAATCTGTCATCGTATCTTCCATATACTGTCTTAAACACATTTTTGTTACGTCAATTTTTTTTTAATTCACTATTGTTTGAAATGCGGTTCCTTTAAGCAGTGGAGAATTTTCCGGACTTCTCGGTTTTTCTATCGCTAAACTAAAGTCATAGTTATAAGCCGATTTCGATTATGATAATTTGGATCGCTCGGATCCATTCTTTCCATATTTTCCACAAATGCATTATATAAAATACACAGTTTAAACCAGAGACAACTTTCGACAATATTCAGAAGTTGCGGCCGTGGTCAAAAATAATGTGTGGCTAATGTTAAATCATAACATAAAAATGAATAAAAAGAATGTATAAACAACAAGTAACAATATGAACTAGTGTGTTTGATATGCTACACATTTTTTAGAATCCAAGCAAATATGAAAAAAGGTTAAATACTCCAAGGGCACGAAGATAGAAAGGCAGAAAGGCAAGGACAGAAGATAATAACTTTTTTTCCATAGTTTGGGTATCTTTACTGCATAAGATACTTATTTTTTCTTATTTATTTTATAAGTATTTACTTATAAAGGCAACCCTTTATGCCCGGGGGGATGTGGGCGCCATCTAGTTTATTTTATATAATTTATTTTACTATACTATTTAATATAAAAGTACCTAACGATCCGCCCCGGCTTCACACGGGTGATCATTGGATCTCGACAACATGCATGTGTTATACATATTGACATTGATGAAAACCGCATCAAAACCTGTTGCGTAGTTTAAAAGATCTAAGCATACAGACGGCTCAAAGTGACTTTGTTTTATACTTTATACGTGGTAGAGGCATGCTGCAGTTATATTAATAGTACAGTTGTAGCACGAATGGGTCGGCTCGACCGGGGAAGGACCACGCTCTCACAGAATACCAGCGTTAAATTGTAGCTTAATGCTGCTGTGTTTCGTATGGTGAGTGTAGAGAACCGGAGACCCTTTTTACTGGAAACGAGGCATTCCATCTCAGTCCTCACGGGTGACAACGCATCTGCATTTTGATTTGTAATGGAGAATAGATGTAGATGTCTATGGGCCACAGCAACCACTTACGATCAGGTGGACTGTGTGCTCGTTTGTCACCTTATTCTATAAAAAAAAACTATGTAGAGATAAAATCACTTCTTAGGTGACCTTTACACAGTAGGTTTTGCTGTCAGTTTTACAACAATCACGATTGTGATTTACGAATAACCTACCGTGTAATGCAATGGTTGACGCCTGCATGAGCGCGTAATGTACGCTATTCAGTCACCATCCGTTTTTTACCAATCATGATTGATGGAAATGATTGACGCCAGAATGAGCGTGAAATATACGCCTTACTTATATCATCGGTTATACTATTTACAGTGGTTGAGGATATCCATAAGAAAAGAGAACCACTATGCACCATGGATGGGATCTACCTCATCACGCCATCAGAGAAGTCTGTACATGCACTAATCAATGACTTCTCGGTCGGTAACCGAATCATGTACAAGGCGGCACATGTCTTCTTTACAGAAGGTACACATTTAATATTTATTTTCAACTGTGAAACTAGTTCCTGCGCTTTTCATTTAGTTGCATTTTTATTATTACTTTATTTTCACTTTTACAGCTTGTCCCGATGTCCTCTTTGACACATTATCGCGTAGTCGTGTAGCTAAATTTATTCAAACTTTAAAGGAAATCAACATTGCTTTCATACCATATGAACAACAGGTTTGTCTAAATTGTATTTTTATCTAACACATGCTTTAACCAGACCTTGTTCCTGTGGACTTTGTGAAAACTTCCTATTATTCGTTAATTTAATTGTTAACAATATCTTTACACGCTGCCTTATAATAGTATGCCCAGAGGAACTGTTCAATGAACTGTGCAAATCAACAGCCGCCAGAAAAATTAAAACTTTGAAGGAGATTAATATTGCCTTCCTACCATATGAGAGTCAGGTGAATATTTATATCACGTCACCGAAATATGAATTCATTAAATATATCTGAAGAAATTAGTATAAATGATTGTATTTCTTAGTATTCAATACCTTCAAATATTATTTTAATTGTGTTTAAATGGACTTGTAGGTGTTCTCACTGGATTCGTCAGAAACCTTCCAGTGCATGTACAATCCTGCCCTTGCACAAACACGTAACGCTAACATGGAGCGTATCGCGGAACAAATTGCGACCTTATGTGCTACTCTGGGAGAATATCCTTCTGTACGGTATCGAAGGTATGTATTATAGGAAAGTGAAGTTACGACTACAAAATTCCGAGGAAATTAAGAAATATTAATTTTATACACAACAAAGTTTTAAACCATACTTAAATACTTTTAAAGGCATAAGACAAAATCGGACAATTTTAAGTCCATAGGTAAACCAACAGATAGTATTTATTTGACAGATAGCAAACAAGTGAATATTTCAATCATCAAATAGGCATATTTTTAATGAATAACTCGACGACTAGAGAAGTGTATCTGTCCTTTTAATCCACATCCATAATAAGAGGTAAAATCAAACACAAAACATAGAAGTAACTTTTTAATTTGTTAATATATGTACAACAAGTATGGTGTTAATGAGTGGGTACCAAATAAATCTCAGTGGTATTAAAATTCGGCATATGCTTTTCTTTGATTCCATTACGATTTTAATTCGATATTGAATTCTAATTGCAATAAGATGAGCTCTAAACAACTACACAAACAATATCTTGGAAAACATGACCTTGAACATAAATAAATTGACACTTGATACTTCATAATGACTGTTTTAAATAGATAAGCAAAAACAGAAATTGTTTGCTCTGCTCTAACATTTGCTTATGCAATATTTTTATTTCACTTCACAGAATCAGATAGCTGTTCATGAGATAAATCAAAATTGTAAAATAGATAACTAATAATTCAACAATTGGGGCCAAATACTCAAACGCTACTCAATTTTAATATGCAGTTAAGTCTCTTGCTGTCTCTATCACTGCAATTCAAAGTGACTGTGACAACATGTGACTTAACAACATCTTAAATCTAACTAGTGTTTGATTATTGGGCCATTATTAGTCAGCCAAATAATTTTATTTATTAGATGATTTTATGACTTTTATTTGAGGATTTAAAAACTAGTCCTTAGTGAAAAAATGGAAAAACTTACAAAGTTAAAATTTATTTTATACATATTGACATATCAGTTTATTTTAATAATAATTAATAATATAATAATGTCCTCCAGACCAAATTTCGGCCACGGCGGCCTGCCTCAGCGGAGGCTAGCCATCGGCGCAGGACAGGATTATAGTGCCCAAGTATATGCGCAAGCATAGGTGCACTCTCTATTCCCTCACTCTCATAATCCGACGGGACGGTAAACCGACACGACCAGAGAGAGGTCAGACGCAGGACCAACGACTTTACGTGCTTTCCGAGGCACGGGGGTGACACCGCCAATTTTCTGACTCCGGGCAACTACTGAGAATTTATTGACGGAAAATTCTCTAAATCTCTAAACTCAATAATTAGTTTTTTTTGGCCCGACCCGGGGTTCGAACCAAGGACCTCATGATCAGCAGTCACACTACTGCAACCACTAGACCAACGAGGCAGTCGTTTAATATAATAGCGTCGAATAATATAATATATTACGAGTGATCAGGTTGCATTAGTTGCCTGAGTTTTCATGAGAATTATTTATGAAATGATGAAGAAATAGTAAGCAGTAAATAGTAAAAATAGTTATCTTTATGATATGCTATTGGTTTCGCTGACCTAGTGTTTTAAAGAAAATACTTCTCAAAGTCTTTGCCAAATGTCTACCACATTTGTACGCTGTGTACCTTGCTAACTAACGGACTAAGCGCTCCCTCCCTTCCTCCCTGCATTTTAAGCAAATCGTAAATCGTTTTGAAAATTAATTTTATATTTACAGTGATTGGGAACGTAACGTAGAGCTTGCACAACTTATCCAGCAAAAGCTTGATGCCTATAAGGTAAATTATATTTGAGACATCTTATATACATATTGTAACTGAATTGTGTAGCAAGATATAAATTATATACCCATGCTGGACAGGCTTCTTCTCATTTCTGAGATGGTAATTGAGCAATTAGTTTAGGTGAACTTTAACTTTATGTACTTACTCGAAATATTTCGAGTACATCCTTACGATGTTTTAGTTCACTACGGCGCGTAATGTGGTAAATCAGCATTGATAATTGCAACTAACAATTTAATTTGTGACCGCCAAATCATACAAAATATTGCTCGCGGACTTGTGTATTTACGACGAGCGTTAAGAGGCTAAGTTAATTAAGACAAGTGCAAGTGGGTTGTAACCATATTTTGTGGTACTTAATGGTGGAATCCTATATTTAGCTGTGGATTTGTGATTGGCTGTAACGATGATGATGATAATGGTGAACTACCGAATTATTTAAACTACTACTATCTCTATGTTATGGTTATGGTATTATTTTTGTTATTATTATTGAATTAAATTTGTTTCTACAGAATTTATTTATTTTATGATAATTACAAGACAAGTAATTCCTGTGTTATAGCAACTTAATAACCTTCAAACGAAATCAATTCAAATTGCACATTAACTCCTTAATGTCAGAATATCTGGCACAGTAATAGTGCTTTATCATTACCACCTATTTAAAGACCACTGATAGAAATGGGTCTCTCCCACTGTAATATGTTTGCCTGTATTGTCATGTTTGGTAGACATCGACGATTGTAGTACTAGATTATGCGGTTAGAGTGTACATGGTTGGAGCCTTGCTACAGCTATATTATAGTTGTGGCACGAATGGGTTGGCTCGACGTGGGAAGGACCACGGTCTCACATAATGCCAGCGCAAAATAGCTGCTTAATGGTGATGTGTTTCCTATGTTGAATGTCTCTAGACTTTCTCTTACTTGAGGCCCTATTTACTGGAAACACTAGGCATTCTATCTTAGTCCTCAGGTGTGACAACGTTTCTGCATGTTAATCTTAATTGAGGATAAATTTAGATGTCATCCAATCACCATCATGTGGACTGTGTGCTCTTTTGTCACCCTTATTCTATAAAATAAAATAAAACCTTATTGTTGCTCTTTGTTGAAGTGGTGCATACCTGGGCGTATTCTTGCATAGCAGTTCTTTAACCTGTATGAAAGCTAAATGCATGCAGTATCATATTGCGGTCATATTAACTTGACGCATCGCTGGAATGCGAGGCCCCGCCCGCTTGCCCCCGCACTCCCTTAGCTCGCCCGGCAATCGTCAGTATGGTTAGCATCGCTGTTACACTGTTGTAAATGACGTCATCAAAGACATGCGTCAAGTTAATGTGACCGCGTTGTACTAAGGTCATGCACGCCTTAGAAATTTGAATCGAGTTGCTACATATAGTAAGAAGTGAATCCTTTAGGACAATGCCAAGTTTTTATCACACTGGTTATAACTACCTAAGATATACAGTGCCTGAAACCAAAGTTTAGCTAGAATTAGGGTGACAGTTTAGTTGTCTACAGTTTTTCTATAACTTCTTGCCATCTGTTGTAGCCATAGTTGCTACTGATTGTTTTGTCAAAAATAGCAAATGCTTGTGGAGAAGCTTGTACTCAAACAACTCAGATTGGTGAACTGATCTTCGCATTGCTTCTTTATGACCACGCCAGATCACATACTGCACCATAATCATTGACAAATTTACCATAGCTTAAAGCTAGAGACCATACCTAACTCACCATATTTTCTAGACTGCCGTGTCCCAACTGACTTCCACCTTTTTCTAGTTTAGAAAATTTTTTGATAGGCAAAATTTTTAATACCGATAAACCGGTAAATAACGTCTTTAAATACTTTATTGATTCTCGTGGTGCAAACTTATATAGCAAGGGCATCAACAACAAACTGCCCATAAAATGACAAGAATATAAAAGTTAAGCAAATAATATGAATAATTAGGGTTTTTTTCTTAGGAATTTCCTATATAAAGGTATTTCATAGGTAAAGACCTAATATTACAACCTACATTTAAATAGAAATTATTATTCCTTACGTAATATTTGTAACATATAATAATGTACAAATAATCTATAAAAACTTACGGCCTTTTAAAACTAAGCTACTACCAGTCTTTGGTATGACTATTATTGTTAACGCAAATGTGTTTGACATACTCGTAGATCCATCTCAAAATCTTCTAGATAAGTTGGGGCACCTTCTGATGAATTGCATTATAGATTCATTTTCGTCTTATGTAGGTATCATCACCATGTTTCCCAATACCATTCTAAATTTTAATGACTCTATTCGTCAAAGGCGTAACTCCCAAATTTCACTAGTACATATATAATATATTAGATTTTAAATGACCCAGGTTCTCTTTATCGTAAAGATAATTTCCAGTATGTTTATTCTACTCACGATTGAGTTCCTGTAATGCAAAAGTTAAGAACTTTTGAGACTAATTTTCCAGCACATAACAGTGGTTTATTTAATTCCACCTTTACTGTTCAGTATATACTGCTCTGGGACACCCTTCTCGGTGGTATCAAGAAAACTGGTAATAAAAATTATTTTGATACTATTTCGAGAATCTTAAGCATCTTAATAAACAAGTGATTTTTTATGTATCATAATATGTTTTAGTCTTCGCCAGGCAGTCGTATATATTTTATAGAGAAAATTTTGTATATAAGTGCTCATTTACATAATTTTTAATTATTCTTTTATGTACATTATTACTTTATATTGTACAATGTGTCTATATTGCTAATTATATTTAGTTAACTGTTTGCACCTGCCACAGTTTCTCAAATCTTCCAAAGTTGACTGGTAAAGAATGCCATAGAACGTTTAAGTCCGCCTTTTGCATCCATTAGTAAGATGTTAATTGAATAATAATGATTAATGAAATAAATATTTTATTTTAGGCCGATGAACCGACCATGGGTGAAGGACCAGAGAAAGCGCGTTCGCAACTATTAGTGCTAGATCGTGGGTTTGACTGCGTCTCGCCGCTCTTGCACGAGCTCACTTTGCAAGCTATGGCCTATGACTTGTTACCGATTGAGAACGACGTCTACAGGTAGATTAGATTCTTCTTTGACTATGTTGTAAAATTACACATCTGCACAGTCGAAACAGGCTACTTCTGCTCCAATTTCTTCACTTCTACACTTCACTTCTAATACAATGGTTTACATAAATACATGTCTAGAGTCCATTCTTTACACAATGCTGCTGCTTTTGATGCTATTCCAGCCGTTTATAAGGTTGGTACCTCTGATGTGAGATGCTATGCTACGCGCGTAGACACTTTAGCGGCCGCTAAAGTGTCTACGCGCGCTTATGCACAGCATCGCTCTCAAGGACTACAAATCTTGCAAGCAAATTATAATTATGTTGTGACACTTGCCGTTATCTCTGAAAATTTCTCAACACTAAACCGAAGAAACATTTTTATCCTCTTTTCGAGAAAATAAAACTTTGAAAAAAGAACATTAGAATAAAATTATTTCAAAATAATTTAATAGCTTCTGAACATTTAAGGCAGAAATAGCAATGAAATCTGAAAACTAGTATATTTTGAAAGCCCACTCTTGCTAAATACACGCTCTAAATACACTCATCCATTTGCTCAAGCAACCCTCCTATTCTTATTTTACATATTGTTTTACTTTCTTCTCTATCAAAAACATCACTTTCGTCTTACTTACAATCACTTTGATTCACCTTTCTTTTAGTCTTGCGTTCATTAATGTAGCCATCATTAGCAACCCGCCTGCCAATGACACTAATATGACTTGATAGTCGGTGTACAAGAGGCATTTGATGGTTAGCCAACCTTTCTCAACTCACGTTTTTTTAGTCTTACAAAAATAAACAGATTAGAGAAATATAGACTAAAATATCCATAAACAGATTAAACAGCCATCGGAGAGCTACACAACGATAAGTATGATATAAAGATGATTTTTTTTGATCTCTTTCGGATCATCCCAACTACATCAGATTTGTTAGACCACAAAACCTCACAAAAAAGCACCAATTACTACGAGGGATGTTTCGCGAGGCTATTGCAACAATATTTAATTTAAATAGGGGGGCCGTTCATAAAATACGCGCAATACTTCAAGATACTCTCAGCTCGTTCTGCATAGATCATAGCATAAAAAAAGTATAAACTGAAGGTAGTCCTACTGAAGGTAGGAAGGTACCTATGACATTGGGAGTCAAACACCTCAGTTCCCTCTGTGACTATGCGTGCTGTAGAGTGCTCCAAACTTCAGGACTTTAAAAAATTTTAAATGCAATAAAATCAACAAAATAGTTTCATCATTATGAGAACTTGACATAGACTTCACCAGTTCCCAGTGTACTGTTGTCCTATTTTTGGTAATTCAGTTTGGAGACATAAATTTTTTTGATTTATAACTCTTTCAGAAATTATATAAGACTAATGCCTGTATGTTTCTGTCAGAAGTCGGTATAAACATCTGAATAAGGTGACTTTTGAAAGTTTTTGAAAGATTGTCTAAAGTACGAAACGTCTGGCACTTTATTCTATGATCTGCGTGCCGTTGAAGCAGGTTCTCGTTTTTGACAATGGAATTTCTTTTGGATGATATATTTCAAATGTATAAAATAGGAAATAGAACAAATTCATTTATTACATGTTTTTATGTTAACGAAATATATTTTTATATTACTAGATATGAAGCGTCACAGGGGCAGGTGAAAGAAGTATTGTTGGATGAAAATGACGAGCTGTGGGTGGAACTCCGCCACCAGCACATTGCGGTTGTATCCACATCAGTTACTAAGAACCTGAAGAAATTCACAGAGTCCAAGCGCATGGGTGGAGGTACCTATTATTCATGTTCCCAAATTTAAACATAATTCTAATATTTTCTGGGAAATTATATCAAGGGAACTAAAATAATGTGGAAACCTATTTGATATTGTTGATCAATAATGTTTAGAATTTTTGTCTATCTGTTTGTGCATATTATACTATTTCAAAATAGAACAACTGAAACTGAAAAAAAAAAACAACTGGACAGATTTCCATGTGATGTATGGGGTATGAAGGTAGTTAATGACCCTGGACAACATACATATAGGTTACTTTTTATCTTTTTTTTTTTTTTTATAGGATAGGGTGACAATCGAGCACACAGTCCACCTGATGGTAAGTGGTTGCTGTGGCCCATAGACATCCACATCCATCCTCGATTACGAATCAAAATGCAGACGCGTTGCCACCCGTGAGGACTAAGATGGAATGCCTCGTCCCCAGTAAAATGGGTCGCCGGTTCTCCACACTCACCATACGAAATACAGCAGCATCAAGCCACCATTTCACGCTGGTATTCTGTGAGAGCGTGGTCCTTCCCCGGTCGAGCCGACCCATTCGTGCTACAACTATACATCTAATATAACTGCAGCATGGCTCTACCACGTATATGCTCTGGCACTGACCATGGAAGTGCAAAAAAGTTGGGCAATGTCTTTCCCTTCTTTAGAAGTTTATTTATACAGTGTCTCTTGGTAAAGTGCAACCCTGAAAGGGAGTGAAACTAGAGCCCATGTTGTATCATGTTAAAAAATGGTTTCTACCTGAGTGGTGACGTAAATTTTAAAGATTTAGCCAGCGAGTTTTTTGGGTTACAGCGTAGATTTTTTTTATTTGAAAGGCAATATGGTAAAGAATAAGTACCTAAGAAAAATGAAAAATGTCTCAAACACTTTTATAGTAAGTAAAATAATACTTTTTTTTACGATAGGTGACAAGCAATCAATGCGAGACTTATCTCAAATGATTAAGAAAATGCCGCAGTATCAAAAGGAACTTTCTAAGTATGCTACTCACTTGCGTCTCGCCGAAGATTGCATGAAAGCATACCAGGGTTATGTTGACAAACTATGCAAGGTGGAACAGGTAAATAACTTCCTTAGATCATTAACGGCCATTCTTACAATCGTTATCAGAACTTAGGAAAATGGCCGCCATATTGTAAATTCTTGTATGAAGACCGATTTCTTTCAAATTTAATAACTGAATTTGAATAGTTTGATCCAGGAATACAAATTTGATATCAGCATTCAAAAATTACTACCATTTTAAAATTTACTTCTAGACGTTATAAATTTGATATTATCTAAAAGTCCGTGTTTCTTATATTATAAAATATCGATCTTTTGACAAAGAATTTTAACCTTTCTGTTACCGGCGTACAGGGTACGGTGGTAGTAAATTAACTCATTCTCTGTCCCGTGCATTACATATAATGCATTGCTGTGTGAATGTGTTAGATATAAATAACCTTCTCAATAAATATTGATATTTATATTTAAACACTACTGTGTCATAAACTTTACTGGTCAAGCAGCGTATTATGATAATATGTTATGATGACGTATGAATGTTATTTTAAGTATCGAAAGAGTGTTATAAGAAAAAAAAATCACATTTTTAACAACGTGCATTGATAGATCAGTTTTTATAAATATTTAATCAACTTCTCGATATTATATCACCCTTGAACTTAGTTTTTTATTGTAAGAATAACTTTTCAATGCGTTTCTAATCAATTTGCAATTTAGTTTTTGTGAAGGTTTATTATATTTTTTTTATGTTTCTATGATTTTGTGTCATTAATCAAATAATATGTAAAAACACTTTCTCTTTTTAATTTGGTGGGGATAATTTCAAAAGTATCGTATTTTTGTAGGATCTGGCTATGGGAACTGATGCAGAAGGAGAAAAAATTAAGGATCATATGAGAAGCATTGTACCTGTGTTGCTGGATCAGGTAAATAACATTAACTAAAATAAGACAACAGAATTCGTCTGTGTGAATGCAATACACAAAATCGTATCTTTAGCATAGTTTGGGGATTCTGGAATTGGAACAAGAACTAAATTAGTCCTTGTGTATATGTATATGTGGATGCCGATCAAAGTAATCAAAAATGGACCAAAAACTACTAGACTACTGGAATGATTAGACGCCAGGTGAGGATTACATATCTTTATGATAAATCCAAAATTCGATTGTTCGCCTGGGGAGTAGCGTTCAAGCATTTCCGTGATGACAGCCATTACCATCAATTTGATTGTTTTTTTTTTTAAATAACAACCACTTTGTAAAAATTAATTGACAAAAGAATTTGATATAATAGAGTTTAACTCTAAATCGGCAAATTGCTACAGTCCAGATTTAAATTATTTTTTTCAATTGGAATTGTTACTTTGACTAGTTCTACAAACTGTCAGTGAGATCCTAGTGAAATTAGTGTAAATTTTAGTCCAATTCATTCAAGAATTTCACGTTAAATGCGATTATTCATACAGACACATTTTTTTAATTTCAATCTTGTTGAATATTAAAAAATACGAACCTAAAAAACTGTTTAAAAGCTAAAAATTTGAAAATTACAAACAGATCCTACAGTTTCCATGTATAGATAAATTGTTTTTGTAGTTTCCATATTTTTATATGGTATAGTGTATCTGTAATCTGAATTTGAAAAAAAAAAACATAAAATTCTAGTATAGCTTCTTAATCTTTTGTCAATATAGAGTTGGAAAGTTTAATCAGATAAATATATCTTCGACGCTGCTTTTCATTCTGCTGCTGCTGCCCAGATGTTAATTTTGCTTCTAAATGGAAACAAAAGCTTAGAATGTAAATTGAAATATGATAAGGACTAAATTAACTCTCTTCGACAGACGGTGACAAACTACAATAAAATGCGTATCATCGCTTTGTACATCATGTCGAAAAACGGTATATCTGAAGAAAATTTGAATAAACTAGTTACTCACGCTCAACTCGAGCCATCCGACAAACAGGCGCTTTTGAACCTCGCGAATTTGGGCCTCAATGTTGTTATTGATGTAAGTCAAAGTTATTTTTATTACTGCAGTATAATTTATTAGTTTCATTTAAGTACCGCATCTTACAAATTGACTTGAAAAGTTGGGATCATAAATGTCAACAATCTCGTTTTCTTTGTAATAATATAGTGGCAATCTAACTTCATACAACCGTGATATGATAGATACATTACTACAGAATAAGGCATAATAAGGAATACAGAATAATACGGAATTCCGTTTCGGAATTACGCATGTGGCGGGCCTTAAGACTCAAGTGCTCACGTACTGCCGGCTCGTTACGTACAGAGAGAAACTGCTTTTAACCGGCTAGACCAGCGCTCAAACTTCTCTGTATATAGATAGTTACGTGTGCTTGTATATTGTGTGCTCTCTGTATAGTCAGGGTGTACATGTCGCGCATTCTGCCTTGTTTCGTATATATATACATATATAATTAATAATAATTATTAATACTATAATATGCAATAATATTGAACAAAGTTTAATAAAAATATACTATTTTTAATTATCTCAAATACTTTACTAAGTAATTAGTACTTGAATATTATATAATTTTTAATGTGGTAAATAGATATATCATACATATTATACGTCAACAAATTTATCGCATTTGTTGGATTGCTTAAGCAAAATTTTCACGAATGTTTTAGTTTCGAAATAGTTTTATAAGTGATATACTATAACTTCTTCAAGCATGTATATGCCATGCACGCTTTCATATTCATTTCACAAGTTTATATTACACTTAATTTACCATTCAACTAAAAGACTATAAGATAGTATATCAATCATAAGACACTTAAGGGTTTGTGTGCATAAATTATTTAGCATCAGACGCTTAAATTTTACACTAGCCTTTGGATGCGCACATTACAACAAATAACAATACATAGTGCCTTATTTAAACATTTATTGATATAAAATTGTTAATTCATTTTAACAGGGTAACAGGAAAAAGCAATATCAAGTTCCAAGAAAGGAGCGTATCACAGAACAGACTTATCAGATGTCTCGGTGGACTCCAGTTATCAAGGTAAATGAAGTCGTAAGTTGTAACTCATCCCACAAGTGTCGTAAGAGGCAACATGGGAAAATGTTCCAAAGGTCTTCTTTTTCTAATTATTCCGAATAGTGGTTTTGATCCTTTCCTAATACATGAGTCCTAAAGTTCAAATCCAGCTGTAGAAGTTTTAAAATCTAAGTGACGTAAATAACGTGAGTGCAATATGGTCACTTTAAGCTTTGTCGCCCTATAAAACCAAAACTAAGAGGAGGACAGAGACAAAAACACAATGTCATATACTATAAATAATAAGAAAGAAAAAACAAGCTTTGGCAATATTAGGGACACTTCGAAAAATCAACTAAAAAAAACTAACTAGTTTACATCGACTTTAATATTCACTATAATGTAAATTGTCAAAATGGCGTCGATAAAGCTGCGCCCTTTTGACTCTTTATTATTTGATTGACCAATGAAAAGCAATCACACAGTCATCTATGCAAACAAGGTTGTAGTTTTTGAGTTACAAGGAAATGACCATATTGCCCTCACATAAGAGTGAAAGTGACCTCTCATACATCCCGTTATTTTATCAAAATGGATGTAGGTAAGCAATCTCATGAGAAATTTTTGCTTGACGACAATATTTTCAGATCACAGATTACCTCCTAATAGATACCGCATCATGGAATATTTGTTCTGTTTCGATTTCACCAAATTTCGGGTTGCGGGGGATGTGTCAAATGCGCTGTGATTGGATAATTCAAGGTTGAACTTAGAATGCTCCGAACCATAGTGATGAGACAGGGTTGGGACGTTGATCGATAAATTTGGGATTTCTTTAGTATTGATAAATAAATGAATTGATCAATTTTTATTTGAAATTTATTAAAAAAATAAAACGGTGTATATAAATAAAAGAATATATATATATATATATATATTTGTACATGTAATCTAATGATTTCTTAAATTATAGTGCGAACGCGAACACTACACATTGAATAAAACTATATAATTATATGGATTTTATCGCTTTTAATTAATTTATGGTCACGGGGGGGGGGGACTTAAATGTTTGACATCTCAATTTCAAAGTTAGGCCCGCTATCTTCATTTTTGAATATTCATTTTTGGTCCCGATGACATAAAATGACTTACAGTATCTTGTATATACACACCCATCCCCCCCTACTCCCACCCAAAGCTTGTGTCTTGCAATACTTGATTGTCATGCTGAAGCTCGGCAGCCAGATGTATTCTGTCACAGATCCCTTGTGCTCTCTGAAACAAATATTTACACACAGTAGCAAACTATGAAGAATGATGGTGACAGTCACCATTTAAATATCGGTTGGTATAGGCCTTTTTCCTATACATAGTATGACCAATAGTGTTATCAGGATTTCGGATGACTAAAACATCTAGAAAAGCTAAAGTATTATTTGCTTCTAACTCCATCGTGATTTGTATTTTGAAGTTATGGAGTAAGGTAGTCTAAAATTGCAGTTGCTTTGTCAGACGGTAAAATTTTGAAAGAGTCGTCTACGTACCGCTTGTAGAATCTTGGATTTATAGGAGCAGTAAGAAGGGAATTCTCCTCAAAATCCTCCATGGTATATGTCGGCGACTATAGGAAATACGGGTGAGCCCATCGCTACTCAAACAACTTGCTTGTAGAACTCTTCCTTCTACAAAAGATGTGAAGCAGTGTTTGAGTAATACTGCATATTCTGCAGGCATGTTGTTATCTTGTAGCTTCCTAGTTACAATTGATGTGCAGTCTTCAATAGGTAGGCATGTGAATAGTGACTGAACACCAAAACTGACCATAGTTTCATTGTCAGCGAGATGTAGGTCTTTTATCTCACTAACAAAATGGTGTGAATCCTTTGAGTGTGTTCTGGTATGTCTTTTCGGTGGTGACAGTATTTTTGCCTAGTGTTGCACCTAAAAGTAGTATTATTAATTAAAAAACCATACGGTACGTGTATCAAATTTAGATGTACTTAATAATAATAATAATAGGATATTACTGAAGTTCATGTAACACTAGAATAACATTAATCACATATAACTTTCACTTGTTTAATGGTTTATAAATCCGTTAAAAATAGTTTAATTTCGACGTGTAACATTCGCCTAAATATTAGAATATCACATTTCAATCAACCACTTAATGCTATTACTTATTGTGTAATTTTCACCATTGGTATTATACTTTTTATTTTAAATGTAAAAGTCCATACTAAAACTGGCAAGTATAGAGATGGTATAGCGGAATCCAACAGCCTTCTACGGTTTTTCATAATATGAAGATTGTCTTCTGTGAAGTGTCTTGAGCATAGCACCACTATTTTTGGTGGGAAACCATTGGTCCCCATGACATGTAGCGTCGATCCACATCTTTTCCTTTCGGGGCATTTAGGAAACCTATAACATATAAGTACCACAATTATACGCCACTATTTGTATAAAATAATGACTCCAAAAGAAAAGTAAACGATGACCAAACAAATATCGACTTATAAATAACAACACTATCGATACACATGCTGTCGTTAGACAAAGACAATTTTTTTTTATTAAATTTTAATTTATGTAATGAGTGAAAGGGGACATATTATAAAAACATCAACGGGTGCTCAAATGATATTACTTTGCAACATTTAATATCCAGTGTTAGTTGAACTCCGGTGCATTTAAATAGTTTAACGTGATAAGAATAAAATTTACTTACCGATGAAATATTATGCCATCTTTTTGATAACTGGATGTCACACCATTTCACTGCATAGGAAGCCATTGGTAATGTATTTTGGATACCAAAATTATTTTTAAATTTTCAAAAACTCGAACGTGCATACGGGTCACAAACTTGGTCGATAATGATATCGTGATTCTTAGCGTCACTTCATATGCTAGCTACAGCAAGTATGTGTTGCGCGCGTTTGTGGCCCTGTATGCGGAATCTATTAGGAGGTAATCTGTGTTTCAGATAAAGTCGAGTGTCTAGTTATAGATAACATGAATTGATACTATATAGTTTACTTAATGAACAAAGACCGGACCATGTAGTGGCGGGGTAAGAGTATCCACTACCCTATATTATCTTGTAGGTGTCGTAAGAGGCGACAGAGGGGAAACAACGAGGAAATAGAAAAATACTGCGTTTGCCAACCAGCCTGCCAAGTGTGGCAACTATGGTGACTACCCCAGTATGAGGCAATCTTGATAGGCTGTAACCGAAATGGTAATGATAAAAAAATCCACATCGCTTTAATGCTATTTGAAATATCTTTAATTATAATTTCATGACATTACATTATTATTCTAAAGGATATAATGGAAGATGCAATCGACGATAAATTAGACCAACGTCACTTTCCATTCTTGGCCGGCCGCGCCCAAACTTCTGGATACCAGGCACCCACCAGGTAAGCTGTTAATTAGTTTGTTATATTATTATTATTATGCGATGTTTGTTATTTGTGTATTTCATGTGTAAGTGTTGGTAGACTAGAATTCCATAAATTAAATCACAAACTAGAAAGTAATTTTGAATTTAATTATGATTAAGAATGGGTCGGCTTAACCGGGGCAGGACCACGCTCTCACAGAATACCAGCGTAAAATAGCAGCTTAACACTGCTGTGTATCGTATGATGAGTGTAGAGAACCAGAGACCCTTCTGGAAACGGGGCATTCCATCTTAGTCCTCACGGGTGACAATGCATCTTCATTTTGATTGGTAATCGAGGATAGATGCAGATGTCTATGAGCAGCAGCAGCCACTTACCACCAGGTGGACTGTGTGCTCGCTTGTCACCCTTATCCTATAAAAAATATACCTACCAAATTAATAATATATTTATAATTTAGCCTTAACCAAAACTTCTAATGAAAAAGATCACCAAAACAGCTCCTGCTCGAACTAATAAGAGGAACGAACGCGCTATACGACTTAGCGTGAGAATAGTAACTCGCTACTGTACGTTTTACAAGGGACTTTCTTAACACATTCCGCATATCTCAAAGCACCGAAAATGCATAAATAAATAAATATATGTTTGGTTATTCAAATATATAAAACAAATGGTGTTGCCAGTTACAGTAAATGTAAACTTTTACTTTTGCTTGGGTTGAATTGGTTAAGGTAAATATAAGTATTGTTTAAATGTAGGAGAAAAGAGTTATCGTACATTAAAATTTAAAAGCTTGCACAAATTTCAACCGAGCAGAGAAAAGCTTTAGATTGCGTATTTTTCAAATTAGTAAATAAAAGGCAATTACTAGACCTGTGTTCAAAACATTCAACTTACTGATCATAGACAAACACTAGATGCTACTAAAGTTAATTATTTGCAAGTTATTTTATTCTCATTAGACGGAATATCAGCGACCTGTCTTTTATTACATACAATACTCATCAGACGAAATGACCATTGCTAAAATTTTAAGAATGTTTCAGTATCAATGATACAAGTCCAAAAATTTTATTCATCAGAGAAAAATATATTTTCCTTTCCTGTATTTAGGATGCTGTCCAAGCCACTAATCAGTACGATAAATAATAATAAAAAATGATAAATACTATACAGAAATACGATAAATAACAATAAAATTATTTTATGCAGAAAAAAAGAATTTATAGCCATACATATATTATAATAATATGTATAGTCATACAAATATTTACAATACACAGCATCGTTACAAATATTGCAGAGAAGTTTCAAAATCAAAAAAGAGAAAAATAAAGCCTTAAAATAAAAATTCATTCCTACCAGTAATTCTAGTATAGTTTTTTGTTGTGTTTACGAGAATAATGTCGATACCATTTAACAAAAAGCCTTTTCTTACATTTTTATATGGACAAAAATGCAAATAATTAATTGATGCTCAGCCCAATCAGTAGGCTAATGATACAAATTACCTTTAAATATAATATGTCCCGCCCGCTCTGCCATCTATCATCACTAAGGACTTCTTCTTCTTCTTTGTTTTGTGGCGGTTTGATAAAATTCGCCAATGACGTATTGAGTGGAAAATGAAAGCTTACGAGTTTAATTGAAATAAGAGTCTGTGATAATACAAGGATTCAGTTTTCCTCCGAGAATTTTGACAAATCTATTTGTTGAATTACCTAGAACAAATATGACAAACACAGGTGTTAGACTCTTACCAGTATGTTAAAAGTGACAAGGATTTAAAGTTTCATATTATTAGTATTAATAAAATCACATAAAATATACACAAAAGGAGTACTGGTATATGTTAAAAGAGAATTAAAATCTATAGGTCGAGGAATATAAGGAGGAAGGTAATCATAAAGGGAGGAGGATAATTTGGGACAGTTAAAAAAAATATGGTTTGTGGAACCTTCATCGAAGCCCCATTCACACAATGAGCTATCCCTTACTCTGATTTTTGCTAGATGTGCATGTGTACAAGCGTGTCCAATTCTTAATCTACAAATGATTGAAGTTGCATGTTTATTTGCTTTGTTAAATTAAAAGAACCAAGACTTGGGAGGAATAACCTCTTGGATGGCAGCATAGTGTTTACCTTTAACATTTTTGGAAATTTCCCATAATTTATTCCAATTTTCATTCAGTTTCCTTTTAGCTAGCAAAATTAGGTCATGTGAGTAAATTAAATTTTGTAGAATGCCATTAGCAATTGCATTTTTAGCGAGTACATCAGCTGTTTCGTTACCATGGATACCACTGTGGCCTGGGATCCAGGCCACTGAAACATGGATTCCTTTAAGATGGCATCTGAATAGGGTATTTTTTATTTTAAGAATTAGTGGAAATTTATGTTTGTTATGGAATTGATTGGACAAAATAGCTAACAAACAACTTTTTGAATCTGTGAAAATAACTGTTTTATTGAGATTATGTGACTACATATAACAAAGCTTCACTGATTGCAGTTGCTTCACCGGTAAAAGTGGAGGATAGTGAGGGGCATTTAAAGTTAAGAATGATTTTGAACTTAGGAATCCAAATAGCAGCTCCAGTATAGTCTTCATCAGACTGTTTGGAAGCGTCTGTGTACATGACAAGCCAATCTTTAAAGGTGTTTTCTATAATTTCTTTTAATTTTAACTTTGCCATTGGAAAATCCTTTTCTATACCTAGATCTAGATGAATGTCAGGTTGGTAAACAATAGCCTCGTAAAGGACATCAAAGAGTGGATTTATTTTACATTGAAAGATTGGGTAAGGAAGCTGAAGAAAAATTACAAAATTTTTAAACAAGCAGGGAGAGTCCTTATGGGTCCAGTATCGGTCAGATGAGATATACTCTGAAAAAAGATGCAATTTAGGAATTAGGGGATGATCTGAAAGCTGGCAGATCTTAAATAAGAATCTGTCTGAAAGGTATTGCCTTCTTAATCTTAAAGGATCTACGCACTCAACCTGAAGAACATTTATTGGTGAGGATTTCATTGCCCCTGTAATAATGCGAAGGCATTTCGATTGAATTTTGTCCATTACTTTCAGGGATGATTTATTGCAAGGCTCCAAGAGAAAACATCCATAGTCAAGATGGCTTCGTATTAAAGCATTGTACAGTAATTTCTGAGAAAAAGGATGGGACCCTCACCAAACACCAGACAAAGACCGAAGAATATTTATGTTTTTTTCGCATTTTTGTGTTATATATTCAATGTAATGACCGAAGGCCAATTTCGAATCAAGGATAACTCCCAAAAATTTAACATTGCCTCTAACTGGAATAGGTTGCTTATCATATACAACAGATATATCGGGAACTCGCCTTTGGCGGGAAAAGTTCACCACACTACTCTTGGCCACAGATAAAGATAGGCCATGCTTAGTTAACTATTCTTGTAAATAATCCATGGATGAGTTTAGACGGGAATATGCCACTGTGAAGTTATTTAAGGAGATGTATAGAGCTAAATCGTCTGCATATTGTAGAACATTACAAAAAGAATTTACTGAAAGTTCTAAATCATGAGTATATATAGAATAAAGGAGAGGACTAAGAACTGAGCCTTGTGGAAGTCCTTTCCATATAGTTTTTGGGGGAAGCAGGTAATTTTTAACATTTATATATATTGATCTAGAAGAGAGAAAGTTACAGTCGTAATTGACTATCCTCACTGGAATGCTCAGATTAAGCATTTTCTGCCTGAGCACAGGAAGAAGCACATTATCATATGCAGAAGAAATATCCAAGAAAACTCCTATGAGAAATTCATGTCTTGAAAAAGCAATATGAATATCTGTGACCAAAGTACTAAGGCTATCCATGGTACTTAAACCTTTTCGGAAACCGAATTGGGTTTTAGGTAAGAGATTATTCCTTTCCAAAAACCATTCCAAGCGATTTTTTATTAAATGTTCCAAGATTTTTGCCAAAGTACAAGAAAGGGCAATAGGTCGGTAACTGGAAGGATCATTGCTAGACTTACCTGGTTTGACTATGGGCAAAATAATTTGGGTTTTCCATTCAGCAGGAGGATCACCAGTAATATAAATAAAATTTAAAATGGATAGTAAGACAGTTTTAGTGTTCTCACTACTATTAATTATAAACGAATAAAAATTGTTTTTTTATATGATGCAGTTTGTGAGAGCTGAGTCGAAGGGGTTGAAAGACTGTCAGTTATGGTATAAGGGGTCTGTTGAAAATTACGAGGCTGGATTCTTGTTGTATCAGCAAAGGATCTTTTTGTCTGAGGGAATCTAGCTGAAGCTTCTAAATATGAAATATTTTCTTGTGACATAACAAGTTTAATAGATTTCTGCCTTAGATGTTCAGGACAAGTAGGGTCTTTTGCGGTGTGGGGACCTCAGCAGAATAGACAAGTAGGAGTTTATCGAGTACAAGATAAACCTTCATGATTCTGTGCACATACAATGCAGCGAGGGGATGATCGGCACTGGGAAGTAACATGGCCAAATCTACAACATTTATGAGACTGAATTAGTGGCAAAACATATTTTTCCACTGGCATAGAGATGTAAAAACAGTAAATATGGGGAGGAAGTTTTTGTCCAGAAAAAGTTAGAACGACTGTCTGAGTTGGAACCCATGAAACGCTATTGCTGTCACACTCACTGTTCGTCTATTAAGTCGCCGTGCTTTAATTATAGAACCGTAGCCAGAGGGAATTTCTATAGCTGCTATTAATTCTTCTAGTGTCCACTCTATGGGAACTTGTCTAACTAGCCCCATACGAGTGATACTATATGAGGGGTGGTTGCTTCATATTTAGAAATTTGGAGAGATGGGTGATCGATAAAGGTGTTTGCATCTGCTGCTGTATTAAACTGCACTGATATTCTATTTCGTCCAACTTTTTTGACTCCATCACGGACTATATTTTTAATATTGTTATGATACAGAAAGTGACCGAATTTAATTGGTTTAAGAGTTACTCCAGACAACTGATCATTTGAGATTTTACTTACGTGAACTAGAAAAGGAGCGGCATCATCTTGAGAGGTATTTAACTTTTTTATAATAAAATCAGGATGGGTATATGAGGATTGTATTGAAGGAAACTGTTGATTTAGATCAGTAATAACTACTTTTTGTGGATGGGCAGACTCGTTACTTACTTGGGCACGTTTACGGTTAATTAGTTCTATATTATCAATATTAATGGGTAAGGAAAAGGAATCATTCCTTCTTTTTTATATGTGGGGAAATCCTTATGGATACCTGTCGTGAAGGCAACACACAGATTATGCCGGACTCCTACCGGCTAAAACCCCACGGTGTTACACTCTTCGCCTTTGGTTTTTCGCTTTCGCACACTACCGTAGCCTCGACAGCGATAGCTCTTACAACGTCCGTCTCGATGACGGAGTGGAGCTGGAGTTCTCCACTTCTTCGCACGGCTACGGCGCACGGGAAACGTACTGTACGACGAGGTAGCGCCTCGAGGCCTAAAAAGACGACGGACAGTCCCCGTATCCGCCACTTAAGGCTGTGGTGGGTGTAAGAGAGCCTGATATGCTCGCCTCCGCCGCTCCACTCCGGCTGCAGATAAACCCTTCCTGGATCGGGAGGTTCGTCCTCCATTATATTACTACAACAAAAAATTACATAAAAACGGCACTAAGGACCATTTTTACACTGTATTGATTTAAGTTGTACTTCTATACTTATTACCATTCATTGACTTCCCTCAAGAATGTCTAATGGGCACAATCTACGTATTTCCAGAAGTCTACTTTAAAAGGCCCATAAGTAAACGTAGTGGCACGAAAGTCTAGCGGCGACCGTTATTGCGCATAAGTCGAAAATAAGGTATCATGGGTTAGCAAGCGGGTCGCGGGGTGGGCGTGCGTATCGCTGATTGACTGTGCGTTCCTTCGCACGCGCTGATTGGGTACTGCTACTTGCGGACGGCTACGGCTATTGGCGTACTGATACGACATGCGCAGCTATTCCCTCCACGTTTCGTTCAGCGCTAGACTTCCGTGCCGCGACTTGTAGTTAAGTCTATCATAAGTAAATAATTTATTTAAAACAAGAAATATTGTTTTAAGCTCCGAAATTAATAAAACAGACTATAGTTTAGGAGTGTGCAGTTGTATTTGCCGCTTTAATAAATAATGAAAATAATAAAATTTAATAGGCACAACAAAGTTTAATAACACGTTGTTTGAGAGGTTCGGATATTGTTGCAGAGACAGAGCAAAATAAATTAACGGGTGGTTTTATTTCAGCGTTCGCTATGGCCATTGGCACAAGGATAAGGCTCAGCAGACCATAAAGAATGTTCCACGACTCATCGTTTTTGTGGTTGGAGGTAAAATGTTATAAATTACATTTATTTACTAAAAACTTTTTATATCCATATTTTATTGCTAGCACTTGACTAACACTAAAAAATTCCAAGTTTTTTTTTCACATCAGTTTGCCCGATGATATTTATCGATAAACAAAGGCGAAGTTCTGAAGTTTAATAGAGTTCTAGTTCGGAAATATAATAAAAGGTTAATGGCAACTCAATCATCAATCTATACTGTCATAGTATAAAACTTGCATTAGAGACATAGTATAGCGCTGTGTTTGTTATTGGAATTGTATCAATCAGGATGACCATGTGTCAAAGTAACAATGTCAGTACTTTAGTAACCACCTAGAATGGGATGATTTCTCTTATGACTAGTTACAATAAAACATAGTTATTTGTTTTCGAGAGTACCATGTAGTATACAGGTTTCGCCACAGACAGTGGCCAATATAACTCAGACCAAAAGAGAAAAATAAAGAGGAGATATTTCTATGTTTTACCTACATTTGAAATTGCGACAAAATTATGCTCAACTCGTTTATAAAAACGTGTTGTTGGTTGTAAATTATGATGGAAATCTATGTTACGTTCTGCCTGTCTTTCTTTGTTCATCCAAGAATAATAATAATAAAACGTTTTGCATTTCTTAGGTATATGTTTCTCGGAGATTCGCTGTGCGTACGAGGTGACTGCTGCCCTTAAGAACTGGGAGGTTATTATTGGGTCTTCACATATCTTGACACCGGACACTTTCATCTCAGACCTCAGCTCTCTTACAGCCTAAACTTACGGAAATAAACATAATCTTCTCATTGCGTTTGTTTGATACAAGAAAAGCTTAGACGATTGTTTCTCTAACGTTGTTCTTCCATTGTGATCCCCAAAAAATCAAAAATTATTTTATGTAAACCAAAAGCTCAATACTAAAGTGGGCATTCAAAGTTGAAAACAAACTCATCGGTCGGATAATTGATTTCATTTTTAATAACACACTTTTTGATATTAATCATATGTTTCATCAATATCCTCTGGGGATCGCCAATCTGGTTCGAGAAATATTGATATAGAGAAGTACAATTTCCAAAGCCCAAATTCACAAAATAGAACTTAATATTATCAAAGCAAATTTTAACGGTAGATTCTGTTTTGATCATAAAAATGCCCCATATGCTTTTCCTGAGTAATGAATTAGCAATACTGTTAATCATAGTTATACTTTTAAATAATTCATTTGTTTGTGATATATGTATTAAATAAAATTGTTTAAAGCCTGTTAATAAAAATTATGTTGAACATCTTGAATATTTATCTAGTTAAGGTTTTAAGGAAATGTTTGTTATTTTATTTTGCCCATTATATTGTCTAACATTTATTTATTTCGAATAAAAAGGTATAGATTATCATCTATATACATACATTGCATTGTTAAATTACCATGAATATTAATATGGTATAGATTTGTTCAGTTAAACTATATTTAATTATCAATTAGGATTAAATTTCGAGTAGGACAAAAATATGTCAATCGGTGTATTCTGAGGGAAAATGTATTTACTGATAAAACCTTGTTCAGTTATTAAATAAACAGGGAATCTATTTACTACGTTCATTCAAGAACATCTTAATAATCATACAATTTAGATTGAATTAACCACTATATGCATATTTACATCTTTGATTTTTTTGGTTTTATGTATTTTCTTTTAGCTTTAATTGAGTGTACAGCACACGTTATATTTTAAAATAGGTGATGAAAGCTAGGTGTATATGTTATAATGCTTTTAACTCTCCTTAGACTTAAATACATTTGTTCTATTATTGTAATCATTATGCGAACTTTTATTTTTATTAGCAATCAGGTAAAAACGTTACTTCTAGCAATATAAACTTGATTAATTATTATCTGCTGCATATGACACCCATTAACAACAGTAAATTCTTTATCTTTACATTCCAATATCGAACCAACGTAATATTGTCATGTGATCTACAGTTATCTGTTATAGAGATGAATTAAATTATTACGTGTAATTGTAGCTGTAAGCTTAGTGGCCTATAATCGTCCTACACCATTTTGTTTTTATTGATAACTCCTCACATGTTTTTATAGTGTTGTTATAACCAAAAAAATGTAGACATAGATAAAATACAAAACTGATATTTTTAAACTCGTTTCCTTCTGGTTTACGTGTAGCGTCCAATCTACCAAAGAAAACAATACGCTGGTGGAAGTCCCAAATAAGTATTACGTGGCTTAAAATATTATTTGTATTATTATAGCGTAATTTATATTACGCGTAATATCGCTATATACGCATTATTTGTATTATTATAGCGTAACTTATTTTACGTTTTATATCGCTAAATATGTGTTTATATAATAAGCGTTTAAATTTGAGGAAGAAGCAAATAATTATTTTAATTCTTCACATATTCACATAATAATTTTAATTCTCATAGTTATGCCATATATGTAATGATTTTACCAAAAAATAAATTGTAAAATTTAGACATCCTAGTTCTAAAACACAAGCATTAAAAGTCAACTTCAATTATAATATTAACTGTAATAACATATTAGTCTCACAATTCAAAAGTGGTTTCATATTTGTGCAATTATGTAGAGGTACGCTACTTACTATGTGTGTAAGCATAATTTTGTCAGTATTCAACTGTTAAAGATTTTATTAAATTATTTAACCGTCATTGTTTCTTTTATTAATTACCAAAAACCGCCATATTTTTGTTGAGACCTTATAGCTTAATATGCCTGGAAAGATGATAAATAAATAGAGTTGCAATACGTCCCGGACATACGTTCATGTCACCGTATTTGACCTGACCCGTTTTTCGACAATTTCAACAAAATACGGAAATGACCCGAACTGGGCGGTACGGGTGGCGTGTAGCAAGCGGGGGCGCGCGCTTGTGAGAGGCGGTACAGACCGTTCGACGCCCATGCACGTCTCGCTCCTCAGTGCTTGTCTTACTATAGTCAACCAAATCTAAGAAATACCTTTTGACGTTTCACATTAATCATTCCGCAATAACTTTGCACAAGCGTACTCACAAGATTAAAAATAACCTTTTACGTAAATCCAAAGAATTATGAAGTTATCTGTTTTTTATCACTAATTTAAATTTAAATATTTCAAACAAAGCAAAATATTAAAAAATAACCAGTATCAACTTTTTTGTTATGCGAATAATCGGCAAAAATATTCAAATAATAGGTAAAAATATTCAAATATTCGAATTATTAATTTTCTTGAATGTATTATTTGTTTTATTTTATTTTATTTTCAAAATTCCAATTACATGAATCATAAATAAAACGAGTTTTTTTTTAATTTGTCAACATTCCCGCCATTTTGGGAGTTTATTTGTCCGCAATTTTTTTGATTTTGTGTTTGTGTTCTTATTTTGTGACCCGGCTTTAACTTTTTGGACCGTTTCTTCTATATTCCTTGACCTTGGCAATTTATATACTGGACTCTGACTAAGCAAGTGATCATAATGTCGAAAAGAAAACGTAGTTGTGGTAGTCGTACTTTAAACCGTCAAGCTCGTGCATTGGTGGTGAAATTACACGAATATTTTGAACGTGAGTCACAAAAGGTGGGCCCCTTTTACCAGTGACATAAGTGCTGGATCGTGTCGGTGAAGCACTCGTGATTGGCAAACGCACCGTTGCAAAGATCGTCACTGAAAAGTACGGACCTTCAGGCAGTGAGAATAATTTACTTCACACGCCGAAAAAAAGAACAAACCAGTAACAGGTATCGATCAATTCGACGCAGATGCAATTAGAAAACATGTCTACGACTATTTCATAAGAGGCGAATATCCTACTGTGGCGAAGTTGCAAGTAAGTTTAATAGATGCCGGTTTGTACAGTGGTAGTGTAGGGTCATTGAGAACCATTTTAAAACTCATAGGCTTTCGATACATAAAAAATTTGACAAACGTAAAATAATTATGGAGAGACATGACATGACATCTTGCAAAGAATAACATTTTTAAGAGAAATGAAAAATATAAACGATTGGGACAACGTCATATTTCTTGATGAAACGTGGTTAAACGCCAACCACACTGTAGCACAAATATGGACAGATGACAATACAGCAACTTGCTCGAAGGTGCCCGCGGGGAAAGATGGGCGCCTCATAGTTTGCCATGCGGGATCAGCCGGAGGAGGATTTGTACAAAACTGTTTATTAGCCTTCCAATCAAAGAGTACAAGAGATTACCATGAGGAAATGGATGCAGAAAAATTCAAAGAGTGGTTTATAACCCTTTTACGAAATATTCCTGCGAATAGCAGCATAATAATGGACAACGCCCCGTACCATTCTGTCCAAATCGACAGAGCCCCAACCCAAGCGAATAAGAAAGCAGATTTAATAGCATGGCTGCAACACAAAGGTGTGGAAGCGCACATGAAGTTATTGAAAGCTGAGCTAATACAATTAGTAAAGCAAAATGAACCACGTAAACCTTTATATGTTATTGATAAATTAGCAGAAGAGCACGGGCATAAAGTTATAAGATTACCGCCATACCACTGCCAATATAATGCTATTGAATTTATTTGGGCCCAAATCAATGGCTAGTGCTTATATGAAAAGTGAAAACATATTAACTTTATTTAAACACACACAAAATGAAAATATCTTATGCTTTTTACAGGCTACGTAGCACGACACAACACCAAGCCACCTTTCACGACGAAGAAGATGGAAGGTTTTCTCAAGGAAGCATGTACCCATGTCACAAAGGATGATCGGGCAAAAGTGGTAGAAAAAACAAAAAACATGATTATGGATGACTTTAAAAGAGACATTAATTTTGATTGCATTATTAAAATCAAATATATAATTAATCTTAAGAACGACCGCTCAACTAGTAATAGTGAAAGTGATTAAATAAATTTATTTTTAATCTAGTTTCAATCTTAATTTTTTATGACTTTTCCTCTAAAATAAGCAGTTACAACAAATACGAAGAAAATGATAAATCTTTTGTTTTAAATTATATGTTTCTAATTTATTCTGGTATTATTTAAACCTAACTGTGAATGATTACCAACTCTGAATAATTGATATCGATTTTTTTAAGAATCGATTATTGTGCGTTCTCATTTTTTGGTTGGCATGCTTGGTGCAATAAATCTGACAGCTGTCAAAAGGTATTTCTTAGATTTGGTTGATTATAATCTGAATAATTTCTGCCCACAAAGCAAATGAAGAAAGAATATTTTCGTTGATGACGGCTCAATGGACAGAGGAACGAAACAGGTTGTCGGGAGAGAGAAAGGCAGAGACTGTTGAATCTATATGTTAAAAAGAAAAAGAGATCAATAGAAAATTAAAAATATGATTGGGTAAAAAGTAATCTAACGTTAAAATAAAAAAAAGATTTATTTTATACTTTTGTGATATGTATGTATGTATGTACTATGTACCATAGATTAGATTAAAATCAGATCAGGTAGTGGATTACCTTTCACTAGTATACATGTGTTGCGCGCCTAAGTTAATGTCTGGTACCTGGCACTAGCGCCATCTAGTATCGGGGAACAGAGCGAGGAGAGCTTTCTAGAAAATGCCATGCCTGTACCTTATTTTTAGCCGATTTTACCTAAGGACGAAATGGAGGGTGTCCGCACCCGAAGTCAACGCCAGCAGGAGACGGACCAGAAACGATTTGGTGGTGCAACGCCGCAGACGTCGCAGGGCCAGCCGCCGGCCACGAAGGCCGGCCCGTCAGCAGCTCCTGCAT